ATCTGAGATTGGATCCATTGAATAGTGTAGGAGGAGCAGTTTCACTTTACTTGTGTCATCCCTTTCCCAGGGTGGCACAGCTCAGTGCCAAGAGAGACCTCGGCCCATGATTTCTCCCATGGCTAAAAGTGAGAGCATGTTGAGTAAGTGCCTGGCTTCCAAAGCTGTGCAGGATGCTGCCAGAGACTTACTTCTTTCTCATCCCATCCAGAATACTCAAGTGTGCTGCATATCTAGGGGGTGGAGAACAGCTGGAAAAACAGTAGTCACTGCTCTTAGAGGGCATCAAAGGGATACAGATGCTACTAACTGACTGACAGACCAGACTGACTGACAGACTATTATCAAGAAGCCTACCCACGAACTGATGAGGACACCTTGCCTATGGATCCGCACAACTGGCAACAGGTACCCCAAATGCTCCATGTGTGCTCCCACAGTCCATGGCCAGCATCCTATGCATGAGTCCAGGGTGGCAAGAGGAGACTTTGGAAATGGCTACTAATCACACACAGATAGCCTGACTGTAGGACTAAGAGAAAGCACACAAACTTGGGCATAAGGAGTGCCCTAGGAAAGCAAATAGCAGGTTCTCAGCATCTGGCCTAGGGTTGCAGAACAGAGAGAAGGCATACATCTTAAGAATTCCTCCCCAAGAGAGAATAAGAAGTGTGGAGCAGGTTTATCCATAGAAAAAGTCTCAGAACGGCTCAGAATCCCTACAGGGCTAATATTCCTGAAACTAGTTGGTAAGACTGAATTAGGTGACTACTCTTTAAATGAGAGAACAGCAACATAAGACTTGAAGAAACATGAAATATCAAGGAAACATGACGCCACCAGAGAAACACGATATTTTTAAAATAAATATCCCCAAAGAAATTAAGATCTGTGGTATACCCAATAATTAAACATTTTAAGGAAACTCAACGAGCTACAAGAAAACAAAGACAATAAGATAAGGAAAACAATGAACAAAATGAGAACTTTACAGAGACAAAAATCATTAAAAAAAAAAACATTCTGGAGGTGAAGAATACAATGGATAAAATGAAACATGAAGTAGAGAGCATCAACAGCAGATGGAATTGAGCCAGTGAAAGAATCTTTGAGGTAGAAGACAAGTCTTTTGAAATTACCCAAAGGAGAGCAAAGAAAAAAGAATGAAAAATAGTAAAGGAAGCATGTATGAACTATAGCATACCATAAGAAAAAATAATCTGTGAAATTATTTTCCATCATACTAGCTTGTTTTCTTATGCATTTGGTGATTTTTGACCACGAGCTCATACTTGTTTTATTTTAATTTATGATAAGCCTGGGGATTTCTATAAAAAATGCTTTAATCTAGGAGTGCCTGGCTGTCTCAGTTGTTGGAGCATGTGACTGTCAGTCTTAGGGTTGTGTCTTTGAGCCCCACATTGGGTGTAGAGTCTACCTAAAGAAAAAGCTTTAAGCAAGACATGAATTTTTTTTTTTTTTATTCTTTATGCCAAAGTTAGGGACACTAATATCCTGGGAACATTTTAGCCCTTGGCTTAATCAGAAGTCTTGGGCTTAGCACCGTTACCTTGACACTTGTTCAGAGCTCAGTCTCTTGAGTGTGATGGCCCTTAGGGTAGTTCTGCCTCTCCCTCTCCCCCAGTATTTGCTCTCTGCTCAGGGATCTTTACTCTAGTTTTAATGAAGGGATTTCATTTGGTTGGCTGTATTTTGATTGAGACTATGGTACTCTTAGAGAGATTTTCTTATTTTTTTTAGAGTTCTGTGATGTACTTTAATGTATATTTTATAGGCAGTCTAGTTGGGAGTTGCCTTTGGTATTTCTGGTTGACCATTCTGCCCAATTCCAAAGCCAATCCTTCATTTTATCATAGTGCTCATCATTATCTCTCACCTAGAAAGAACAATACATCCTATCTTGTCCCTCTTAATTTCACTTTCTCCAATTTTAATTTATCATATATATGGTTGCCAAATTGATGTATTGATGGATATGTTAGACACTTTAAATTTAAAGTACCTTGGGGCGCCTGGGTGGCGCAGTCGGTTAAGCGTCCGACTTCAGCCAGGTCACGATCTCGCGGTCCGTGAGTTCGAGCCCCGCGTCGGGCTCTGGGCTGACAGCTCAGAGCCTGGAGCCTGTTTCGGATTCTGTGTCTCCCTCTCTCTCTGCCCCTCCCCCGTTCATGCTCTGTCTCTCTCTGTCCCAAAAATAAATAAATGTTGAAAAAAAAAAATTTAAAGTACCTGGAAATAAAAGTTTGGAGCTCAGGAAAGAAAGGGAACCTAGGGATTCGTAAGTTATTGATGTAATTATCAATGTCATGAAGTGGGTAAGGTTACTGGGGAGACTAGAGTAGTTAGTATAAATAAGAGGACCGTAGAACACCAACTTTATGGAGTAGGCATAGAACAAACTGGGAAAGGAGACTAAGAAAATGAAATGTCAGAAATGAGAAAACAAAGAATGGCATCTCCAAATGCAAGGAAAAAGGGAGTTTCAAGGAGGGGAAATTTGTGGGGTCAGATGTGGCCAAAAGGGCACACAAGATGAGAACTTATCTTACATTTCATCATTAGAAGCTGGAAGATTACTATTGACAGAAAAGTTTCAGTGTAGCGGGATCAAATGTAAAATAGCAATGAATGTATGAACAAGTTGTACAATTTGCTACAGTCCTCTGTTTCTCATTACATCCCACCTCCACTGAATACACAAGGAATCAGTAAACTGCCTGGAACAAAAGAAATACAACTGCCTTCTGATCTTCCATAGTTAAAGGGATTCAGGCAAATACTGGAGAGGTTAGTAAGAAGGGTGAAGGAGGAGATTGGCAATAAGAGTCATTAATTTTTTGTTAGCACTTAAATTATTTTAGCTATTTTACTGATAAAATTTATGTAATCTGTTAATATTCCATATTTCTGATGTGTTGCAATTGAAATCTTTATATTTTATACTGTCATATTTCACAATATAAAATAGAGAACAGAGTACAACCTGGTTATTTACCTGCTTGTTTCTGGAGTCAGAAATTCTCACAATTATATCTATGTAAATCTCAGCATTCAAACCAAAAAAAAAAAAAA